GTATTGAACGGTGACCAAAGGCAAAATTGGGGCTGATAAGAGGAAACATTGCGTTTAATGGTTTCCAGATGATGAGAACAATGTACAGTAAGGGCACAAAGTGTGAGATTCATAGAAAAGTTTTCCTAAGAATATTTCCAATCCTTTTCTCACACAAGAGAAAATGGGTTAGGGGGCGTTGGGTATAACTTTATGGAACAAAGGGGCAGTGGATCGAAAAAGTTTGAGAATCACTGATCTAGGTGAAATGCATTTGGAGGTAATAAATTTTTAAAAGTATCAGAATAAGAATTATTCCTTTTGACTATGTAGTGTAATTTTATATGCTTAATCTCTAAAATTGGCATAGAAATTCGTTTTTGCAACTGTTTTAAAATATTTTTGGAAAAACTTTATTAGCTTACTTATTTAGCTGCTTGCAACCTAGACGCACCCTTTAACTCTAGTGTCCATTTGATAGGATAATGAGGAAAAAACTGATTTGCTTTAGAATTTTTTTCCTGCTTTCAATCTTGGAGTAGGTTAGACTTACGTGAATCAGTATGTAGGCATATTTCTTACCATCTAAATCACTCTTGGCTTCAGAAATGATGAAAATTGTTGCTTTGATACTGTCAAATTTTTTCTCAAGTTTGCTGTTATTTCTTTATTATCAAGAAATAAATAATTTTTATATTAAAAAGACAGTCAAAATTTTGTATAGAAATTGTATTGCTGAAATATGAGTTAAAAGTAATAATTAAATAATATTATTAGGTTAAAAGGAAACCACCATCTCCACCTCCTATGGATGAAGATGATAGCAAGAGAGATTTTGATTCAGGTATGTTCAGTATTTTATTTTTAAATTTAAATAGATTATTATTTTGATATAACATTAATTACATTATTCTAATGCAAATAAGTAATATTTCTGTTTATTATATTACTAGCAGACTTTGCCACGCATTGTTGTGGCTCAAAATGTATCTATTATAAATTTATAACACTTCCCCTGTGGGGGGAATTTTTCGAAAAGTTTCTTCTTAGTGTACATTCTCTTGACGTACCCTATTAAAAACGCAATCAAAAACGCAAAAACCCACATCTAAAATAGTATCATAGAAGCAGAGTTCTTTACCGTAAGCCTTAATCCTAACCATCTCCCTTCAGTGGGGTTGAATTTCGGCACGTATATTATATAAAAACACATGCGTATTCGAATGCAGCGTTGTGTAAAAATTTCAAAGGAATCGGTAGGAACAAACGAACATTACATTTTTATTTATATAATTAGATAGAAGATGATCTGCTTTAGTTCATTTTCACAGAAAAGCGTAATGCCTTGCAGAAAAGCAAACTTAGGGCGTCATACTCGTAGCGCCATCTGTTGGATATAAAAGCCTTAACCTAGATTATATCTTTTAATTTAATTTATATGAATGTTTAATGGAATAATATACAGCCTATGTCCACCCTGAAGTTCCATTCTAAATATTGGTGAAAGAATTTTTGAAATCAGATGAGTAGTTTTGGAGATTACCTGCTGCATACAAACTTACATACGTACTTTAAATTGTAATTTAATGTCATACACAAATTTTTTTAGAATTTTAAAACTGTCTACAATGTGTAATAAATAATTATAATATTAACACCAATTTTAAAACAAAAAAATCTTTTTGAAATTTTATTTTGATAACATCATTATGAATTTTGATAAATCTGAAAGCAAAAATTTTGGAAGATATCAAGTCAACTTTACATAATGTGTAACAGATGTTTAGTAATTGTAAGTCAACCGTAGTGCTGTGGCAAACTAGGGTGCAGCAATGGCATGTTGAGGATGCCTCAAAATATAATGCCAAGCTGATCCATAATACTTCTTACATATATTACTAAAAGTACAAAAAGCACAATAACTCTACATTGATAAAGAAATTTGGGTGCTGCAAGAAAACAGTTACCAACTTGGGGTGCTATTATTAGAAAAAGTTGGAAAACACAGTATTAGGAGACTAGACATAGAACAAATTGCTTCTTGCTCTTGCCACATCAGTAGTGGAAATGAGTCAAAATAGATTTGAATGAAGGTGGCAATAGGGAAAAGAAACAAAACAGCATTAAAATCTCTAAAGTTTACACAAATGGAGAGTAATTCATGGTCAGTGATATATTTGAATTTTTTTAAGGCAGTGTGTTCTGTTTTTTCTTTCTTATAATGCTGGGGAAAATGCCATGACTAAGATTAGGAAGTCTTTTTGTATTAAGTGCGAAAAAAAGATATGATGCTTGTTCCAAAATTGTAGAAATAAGACAATATTAAAGATGATGTATTAAACTGATGCTCTTTGAAGAAAATTATAATAATAAAATAATAATAATACATACAACAAAATACTTCATTAAAAGCAAAATTTATTTGAATTGAGATTGACTTAGATCTCTAGTTTTTTTGTATATAATAAGAGTTGATTCTAATTTCTTATGTTCTCTAGAAATGATGAATATTATAACAACAGAAACTACAGTTATTATATTATACATTACCATATTTTGTGAATATTATACAACAAAAAAATAATAGCAAAATTAGTAGGATCTGACAGGCCAGACAATGTTTTCTGCATATCAATTTATACATTTGTATTACAGATTTATCATTGTTTACTAGTAACATATTTTTAACTGAGTGGAATTATTTGATTAATGATTACTTGCGTATACTTAATTTTTTCTGATAATTAAAACTTGAATCTTTTATTAAAATTTTGAGGCATAACTAGAACATTTTTTTAAAACTCATTCTGCACTCTGGGAACTAAGAAGGCTTTCTGTAATAGCCATGATGAGATTGGCCAGACCCACAATGGGAACTGCGGGGATGGTGAGGGACTGGACTCGACATATTTGGGGTGGATCTGTCCATGAAAAATTCCAGTGGTTTTTCAGTGATACGCTGACACCTTAATTGTTTCATCCATCTGGCTCCATAAAATTTTTCATTAATACATGTTAAATTGTTACCCACTCTGATATTTTTCTGTTTGGCAAGATAATACTTTCACCTCTTGTGTTGTTTCATTGTTTATTTCTAATCTGTGAAAACGATTACAAAAAATATAAACTGTTAAAATATCATATAGAATTTGTCTTTAAGTTAGATTGTTTGACATTCATTTGTATATTTTAAATGCAGTGAAAAATATTTCTTTGAATATTATTAAATTCCTTATTAAGAAATTATTGCAAAAATAATTTATTGTAATTATTATATATTTGTATAATAAAGCTACATTAGTGTCACCAACATGAAATTTTCAAATCAAAAGGATTTCTTGCAGAAAAATGAAATGCCAGATTTGAAGTGTACATTATCAGAAAAATCCAAACTTTTAAAAAAGATATTTTAGCCAAAATATATATATATATATATATATATATATATAAAATAATTTGACTATCACTATCTCATAGAGCACCAGAATAATATAATTAATGCTACAAGGTTTTAAAAACTACCGTTACATTTATCCACTTTATGGTGATTTAAAAATGACGAGCACAATTTTTGTTTGGAGCAAATAAAGTAAAGTCTCTGACATATATTGGCCTGCAGGTGTCAGATTACTGGATTTTGTATGTATATATGTATGTACTGTACAGTAAAAAAACACACTTGGCTAATTTATCATATTAATCGTGATTGTGACTGTTTTGCCAATGCAATAAACAACTAGTGATTGACAGTATGCATGTACAACTCTCTCTCTCTCTCTCTCTCTCTCTCTCTCTGTCATGTACTGAACATCAACATGGGGTAACAAAAATTTCATGTGCACCACCCTACAGAGTTTCAGATTACTAGATGTGTTGGACTGGTGAGTGACTGAGTCTAGAGACACTACTGTACTTTGAGAAAGTATACGTAAATGGAGCATTTGCTTGTTTAAGAAAGAACATCATTTAAAATTATATTAATTCTTTTTTCTCATTTATTCTTATACAGGATAATGTAGTTAGTCATATTAATTAATTATTACTGTAAAAATATTTATTTATGTTTTTAATAAAAAGTTTTATTTTATTTACATTATTTTAAATATATAAATTACAGCAAATTAATATGTATAAAAAAAGTAATTTAAGAATGTGATTTTTGTAGATAATGATATGGATAAACTGTACGATTCAGAAACTGAGAGCCCTATGAGACAAAATTCATTTCAAACAATGCAATCTACAGAAGAAGAGCCAAGTACTCAAGAAAGTGATAGTGATAGAATCTCGGGTATAGTTTATTTTTATAACATTAATTTTTATTTTTTATGTAAGTGTAATTCTGTTATTACTAAAATAATTCTGTTATTTACTTAGATTTGTTTACATGTTTTCATTTACAAGATTTTCTTTGCTCTAATTATAAAAATAGTTGGCTGAATGAAATTAGTTTTCTTTATTAAGTGATTTTAGCAAACAGGATAATTTTGGTTATTTTTTTAGCTTAAATATGTTATTTTTTGAGGTGGAACAGATGAAACTTTTTTTCCTCCTGCTATAAATAGACTCTTTCAAAAAGATTGCTACCATTTTAAATTGTTGTAATTACATTAATTATTATTTGAGAATGTTGAATTTTATATTGGAACATTGGAAAACCATAAGTTTCACTTTTGTCAATTACAATTTCTGAATGTATGCACTAGGGTGGCCCTTATATGAAGAAAAAAAATTTTTTTTCAAATTTTTAAACACATACCCCTTAATTCTTTTCAAATCACTAAGATTTACTTGCATACGAAATATTGATCCCCTACGATGACGATAACCTGTGCCAACTAAGCCTCAAAGTTTTTATAAAGTCATTTTTGACTATCACTCGACTACATCATTGTAATACATACGTACATACATGCATACATAACTAGATCATTGTAATATTAAATAATTGGGTAAATAAGGAAATAAGACAACAAAGAGTAATATTTAAAATTTGTATGGATGTAAATTATTGTGGATATTTTCTTTTCAATGTCTCCTTTTTACAGTACAGATACAGTTTTCTGTGTTCTTGCACACAGTATAAAAGAAACTGCTTCTGTTCTTCATCTGCAGTAATTAACCCATGAAAATCTTGTACTAATTTAACAGCTCTTTCAGCTGTATCATTCAACTGCCTTGAGAGAAAGAACCTTTCTTTTAGCTTGCACAAAAGAACCATTTTCTCCCTGTGAAAAAACGCTTTCCTGAAGGAAACTGCTTTCAATTTTTAACCTAGTAAACAGATTTTTGCTTTTCCTAGACACAAAACAATCCAAGGTTTTTTCTGAAACAAAAAGTAGGTATAGTTTGAATAAAATATAATTAAAGTACAAACAAAACATGTAGTTCTACATACTATACAAAGAGCTGGCTATTTCTTCTTTTGAAGGAATAAACCTTTTCCCGAAATTGGATATATCAATACTTTCCTGTTCCAAGTTAGCTACTATTTTCATCTTGGTTGTTTCATTGACTAAATCATTGAATAGTGATAATATGGCTATTTCCTTGGATAAGTACCACAAATGTTAACAAAACTTGGTCAAAGCTGCATGGGAAATTAATTTGGCAACTTTTTCGTATTTTTTTAATGTTTTTTAACCCTGTGTTAGTGAAGTGAATTTTTTTTTGGCATTAATGAAGTGGAGTGTTTGACCATCCCAACTTTTATTTGAGTCAATGAAGCATGTAAGTAAAAATGCATGAAGTTTTACTTATTTATTTGGTAAAGTCATGTCTTATTATACATATGATTATATTCAAGTATGATTACATATTACATTAGTACATAAATACGTGAAGACAATAAAAAAACAACATTTATCAAAACTCATTACATTAGATCTTCTTAGAAAACCAATAGTAGAAATCCAAATTGTTTTTCAAGCATCTTTGTCACTCCGATTCATCAGCTGATATTTTACTTTGACACTCAATGCAATTGACAAGCAACTTTCTATGTTCTTTACATGCATGTTTACCACACTCACTACACACTGTTTTTATATTAAAATCGTGTGACCTGGGAGAGAATGCATATCTATTTGCCCCATGTGGTGTGTGAGGATGGCAGGGCATTGGACATGCTGACAATATTCTTTTTATTCCCTCCTTGAGATTTCTTCTCAAATGTATGTTTTGCATTCTCTTCTTCAGATTATCTTCTATAAGCTGCATAGCCACTTTTTTGATGAAGATGCAGAGGCTTAGTTTTTTCTGAGTAGTTTGGTAATGTAGGTATAAGATGTAGGAATTTATGTTTGAAATGTTGAGAAGAGTATAGAAAACATTATGGGCCAACAACAGCTATTTTTTAATTAATTAATTAATTAAAGTGTCATACATGGCTGCTATCTGGTCGACCATATCAACTCCTCTTTTAGTCACATTGTAAAAGGTAATAATTTTAGGTTTTTTTTTTATCATCAGAATTTGGGTCAATTTTGTTGTCATAGTGCATACTGCTGAGAACAACATTTTTCTTCTATTTAGTCTGCATGGTATATGAAACCAGTGTAATTTTGTCTGTGAAACCAAACATACTGTCATAATTACATCTGTTTTTCGTATCTAAGAATTCTTTAGGAATTTCACACTTGTTTTTTCGAAGTGTGCCCACCGAACTCAATTGATGAACTTTGATTAGCATTTCAACTAGCAGGAAAGAAGTGAACCAATTGTCAAACGTGACATTTCTACCTGATCCTGAGATCTCTGAGATAAGCCTTGAGACTATAAACAATGGCTGAATTATCTACCTTGAATGGGATATCAGGCTGTTTTCCAACATATATTTCTATTTTACAAACATAATAAGTTTTTGCATCCACCATTGCCTGTATCTTTCCATGCTTGGATAGAATAAAGATATAGGTAATGGTTTGCTTGGTATATATTGTCTGAAGGAACATTTATAAACAGAAATCTTGATACGGTGCCTGTATTGCCAAATCTCATCCAAGCCAGGGTTTTATGTAAACTGTTACAATAAATAAGCAAGCGTCTTGTAATGCTTATTTGTCCTTGGCGTTCATTCTGAATTGAGACTGCAGCAAACATACTTTCAAAGAGTAAATAGCTCTAGCCATCCACCTTACTTGATGCATTGCACCCAGATGCCTGATTTTAATTTTTTTTCTTTATCTTCCCCCAAATATATGGTAGATAACTCGACTAATTCGTGGTAATCATCTCTTGCAATAGATTTTTGAAGTTTTCTCACATAGAAACATAATAATTGATCAATTTCCACATCATTGAAATGTTGTTTTACAAAATCAATGCACATTTGTATGTTTGTAGAATCAATGCTTTTCCAAGAGTCTTTAAATTTTTTGAACATCGGAATATCGGAGCTGTTAGTAACTTGGGGGATTTTTGTTTCAAACACACTTCTTGAAACTAGCTCATATATATGATGGCAACAAGCGAAGAGTAACAGCTTTCTCTTTCTAGTTTTTGTTCTAATAGCACACAAGCTCCATTTAACCACCCCATATTGGATGCTGTTGTGTCACTACACATTATTTGTACCTTGTCATTTAAATTCCAATCATAGAACGCATTTGAAACTGCTTGGACTTGGTGTTTACCAGAAGAACTGTCCAGTATTGGTACTGCAAGCATTTATTCCCTCTCTCCGAATGAAATAAGAATCGGTAGGCACTCTTCTTTAGAACTTCTAACGTTCAAGCCAGGTAACAATTTGCCATCCCAATGAACGGTGACTACTTCTGGCACATCATCCTGAAAATTGGATTTTATGGCTTCTGCTTTGTCCATCCCCACTTGTGTCCGAATCTGTTGAAGTGAAGATTTGTTGATTGAAAATTCATCAATACGAAGCCCTAGTGCTTCCACTGTAGCATGAAGAATATAAACGGAATCTCTAATGCTCAACTGGCATCTGTTTAAAGCTGTAACTAGTTTAGGCATAATGAAATCCATTCTTCCTCTTTTTACACTAGCTTCACAGTATAGACAGCACAGTATTCGATTCCTGAGAAAAAAAAGCTTATCCAGACCATTGTCAGAGCTATGAGAACTGTTGTATAGTTCCTGGAGTGGTGATTAAATCGTGCAATATTGAAAAAGTCGATGCAGCCTTCATAGAAATATTTTTGAGCCTTGTTCTCTCTACTACTATTTTTCTTTGCCTTGCCCTTTCTTCAATTTTTTATCTACACCCACCAAGCAGCTCGGACGTCCCAGTTTTCTCTGTTTCTGTAAGAATTTTTTATCTTCCTCTATTGTCATGCGTTCAAGGGCATTAGTGTGTGCGATTATCAAATAAGTTATCTAAATCTATTTGGAAAGTTTTCTCATGGCACTTATAAACATCTTGACTTTTCTTACTGTTTTTTTGCAACTCTCTCCATACGTGATAAAGATCCACCAATTTCTTGACACACTTAGGTATAGATTTTCTAGATATTCTAGCTTTTTCCCAAAATATGATACACTCACGTATTACAAGATTTGCGCTTTCACTCACAGTTAATTTAACTTCACGAATGTTAAAAAACAAAACTGCAAGTACTTGTCAATTTGACGGTAATTTTGCACCCGTAATTTGGTGGTTTATCTCTCCGACTAAGAAAATATGTTTTTTAGTGTTTCATAATTCCACTGACATCTTCGAAAAATAAAAATATGCGTGTTAATAGCCCGACAAGTTGTGTTAGAATGGTGAACAAAGCGAATACTTGCCACTTCTCTAGCGCAACATGTGTGGATATGATTCGATGCAAGTCGGCACAGGTTCTAGTGACCAAAATGAGCTGAAATTTATTGTGCAAGTATTTAAGGGTAAAATAAACAAAACTTGGCCATATGCATTAGAAAAAAAATATTCAAAAAATAAGGGACACCCTAGTGTGCACTTCACATTGCATGGCACACATCTGACTGATACTCAAATTTTTAGGCTCTCTATGGCATATTCATCATCATTCCTCCTGTAGCAGTCACATTTCTATGGCTCTTGTAGATAACTCATCTTGCACAATGACAAGTGATTCCAACTTTGTGAACTGCAGAACACAAAACACCTTCTTTTTGTAGAATTGTCATTTTCATTTATGGTGTTTCCTAGTGGATCACAAAGGACAACAAAATGTTTGACTGCAGGTGGGATTGCATAATAATTTTCAGATAAAAATTAACATAATTACAGTAATTTAAAATGGTAGAATCATTTTGGAAGACTATATATATATTAAATCAAATGTTTGATCTATTGTCTGCCTCTGAAATTGTACTAAATCAAATGCAGTAATAAATTAAAGTACCTCAAATGATAGAAATGATGTATAGATCTACATAAGAGTTAGTTTGAAGATCACATGATTTGGTGATAACAGTATTATGTGTAATGCAAAGCTGTATGTTTATTAATTTACAGATACTGACAGGTTCTGTATTTAATATTTATAGGAAAGATCATTAGTTTGATCATAAACAAGAGAATTCTAAACACACTGCATTTTGAAAGCTCACATTTTTTCACACAGAATCAATAATTATATCTATTTCAGAAGGCGAATCTAGTTCGGATGAAAGTTCTGACGAAGAGAGCTCTTCTGCTGCTTCAGAATCTGAATCTGAAATAGAAGAAAGCGAGGAGGAATCTGAATCGGAAGATGAGAAAACGGAGGATTCGCAAATTGAGACGGAAATGTTAAGTGATTTAGATTCTACAAAGGACACCGAAATGGCACCTATTTCTGAAATTGATGCAAAGAAAGAAAAGTCTATAAGCGAAAGGTATGTAGTATAATTTGAATTTATTGAAAATTAGTAGAACTTTTGTAACTTTTTGTAATCTGATATAAAATTTGAACATTCTGAGCATTAGCTTTGATACAAACTCCTAATTTGGATTTGATTGAAATTTTAGAAGAAATTATTAAATTTAAATTTAAATTTAGAGAATTTTATTGACAGAAACTTATTTACAAAGACAAATCAAAGTTATGGTTAATGTTATAGTATAAAATTTTAAAAATTTATTTTAAAAATGATTCCTAATAAAATTAAATAATTTTTTAAGTGGTGCTTTCTATAAAAAATTTTGACATTTGATATATAAGCATGTTTATATTTACATCAATCTGTGTTTGTTCCTGTGAAAGTCAGTAATGCTACAATTATTGTCATTCATCAATGAATGTCTATTCAATTTCCATATTCTTACTTCAACATTTCTGTATCTTAGGAAAAAGTCATTGTCATTCTGATTATAAAAACATATTTAACACATCAATAGATCGCTATTGCAGAGATTTAACCTATCCCATGTTGAAATTTTTATCTATTGCATGTGGCCACCATGTTGAATTTTTGTCGGTGTTAAGCCTAATGAAAAATTTTTTTAAAATAATAATCATTGCTACTGTATCATTAAAAATTATTTTTTTATTTTGCACAAACAAAATACAGTAGATCCCCCTATAACAGTGTTTTTCAACCTGTGGGTCGCGACCCCCAGGGGGGTCGTGAAGTTTTACACGGGGGTCGCGGGTAAAAGAAAAAGACAAGTGTTTGTAGGTCCTACACTACATTAAAAAAAACTAAAATTTCAGCGAGAAGGCTGTACTTGTTTATTATACAGTACAATTGATTTTTTGATCGACATTCAGGTCTCAACGATGGGTGTAGCCAGAGATGGGCCCGGGTGGGTACGGGCCACCGCAGAAAATGATAACCATAAAAAGTGTTGAGCTGACTTGCAAAAAGAAGTAATAAGTAGAAAAGTAGAAGTTGGAAATTCTCATCCTAAAGAAAAAGGTCAACAGCATCCCGAGCCCAATGTTGTAATGAACGTATGAAAAGGAAGTTTCATACGTTATGTGTCTTAAGTTATTGTCGATTCTTCTCAAATTCTCGTTTTAATCAATAATAATTTTTCTCAACAGAAAGAAAATTAAATACATAATTTTTAAAATCACTAATATAGTTTTAATATGGCCCTAGGGGGGTCGGCAGAATTTTTTAACTTGTAAAGGGGTCGCGTATTCAAAAAGGTTGAAAAACACTGCCCTATAAGATGGTACATACGTTCCGTTCTTTATGAATCAATTTTGTAGGAATCACAGTTTACGGACTACGGCTGTTTGAAAGGTTTTCTTCCATAAAATTAACGATTCTAGACTAATTCGACTCAACATTTCCAAAATACGTATATTTTTTTGGAAATAATCCGTATAAACTACGTTATAAACAAAAAATTGTAGGATTACTTACCAAGTGTGCACCGTTCGACTACGCCCGTTGCTAAAGCTTGTTTTTGTCGCGGAACAGCACATCAAACGGCGGCCGAGATTTCTGATATTATTTTTCTGCAAAAACTTCGTTGACCTTTGGAGACATCCTTAATATAAATAATTTTTATGGCCATTGAATAAGAAATGTTTCTTTCACAAGAAACGTATAAAATTACAGTGCTATATTAGACTTACGGTACCTAATTTACATACTGTACAGACGATAGCTAGCCTAAACTCTCCGTAGCGCCACTAGACGGCGAAAAATATATATATAATTATAATAAAGTTACAATAAATTAAGTTAATATATAATTATATATATAGTACCTAATTTATATATAATTATATGTACAGACAAAACTAAACTCAATTTACCCGCCTGAACGTCTGTAGCATGGCGCTACGAATGGCGGGAAAGTAGTTCGGCTGCCCAATGACGTTTTACGTAATTATAGGAGTTTTTTTACTGTTGTGTACGGATACCGCCACAATTTTTTTGCCGTCTTATAGGAATCGTAACTATAGGAAACAGTTTTATAGGGGGATCTACTGTAAATATATTGAAAAATATAAAAACAAAAAAATTATTTTAAAAGTTCGTTATAATATAAAAATTATGATGCATTGCAACATCTAGTATCAAAGATGTATCGATACTGTAATGAGATATATTGGGTTTAACTCTGCAGGTCAAAGGTCATGACCCTGATATATGTCAGGAATAATACAGGTGAGGTTAAGCTTGTTTATACATTACATCCAATCAAGTGATATGTGGAGGAGTCTGTCATGAGAAAGTTATACAAATATCAATTATATATCAACTAGAGCAGTGTGTTTCAACCTGTGGGTCACGACCCCCAGGTGGGTCGCAAAGCCATACATGGGGGGTCGCGGGTAAAAGAAAAAGATAAGTGCTTGTAGCTACAATAAAAAAAACTACAATTTCAGTGAGAAGGCTGTGCCTGTTTATTTTGCAGTACAATTAGTTTTTTGATCAATATTTAAATCTCAACAGAAAGAAAATTAAATACGTAGTTTTTAAAATCACTGACATAGTTTTAATATGGCCGTGGGGGTTGGCAAAATTTATTAACTTGTAAAGGGGTCACGTATTGAAAAAGGTTGAAAAACACTGAACTAGAAAATGCTCTAAAAAAGGGACTGAAAGCAAAGGGTGTTTTGGTTAGCAGGCTAAGTAAATTTTGAAAGCTTCAGACATAACACTTCCTATTAAGATACTGTACAAATTAACTTTCTAGATGTCGATTATAGTTGGACATTTTCAACAATATTTTAGCCACTGCTACGACTGTACACAATGATGATTTTTTTATCTGATCTGAAACAAATGTAGCACAGTTAAACATTTGAATATCTGTAATCAGTTAAGTGCTTGCAATAAAAATTGTGTGGCATTGGTAATGTTTCCTTTGAAGATTGCAAAGAAACTGAATCAAATAATAAAGGATGAGGACACAAAAGATATTCTTATAAAAGAAAATGTGCAACAAAGAAATGTAGCTGCTGTATGCAAAATTTCCATAATGGTATCTACACTGTAAGAATTAAGCCAAAATCTCTGCAGTTGTCATCTATTGATATGTTATAATTTCCATAATAAAAAAATATGCAACAATGACTGTTTTTTTCCTAGATACATCATAATATATGTGACAATATTGACATTCACTAGCAAATGTCAAAGAACCTTAAAACAACCTGATTTCTAACATACACTACATTTGTGTGGTGATTATCAACATTTGCTATTTATTGTCAACATTAGCAGCATTACCCACTTTTACAGCAACATATGCATTATATCAATATTCAGAAATACACAAAACATTGAAATTGATAAATGTACCAATTGTTTTTTTCTTCTTTAGTGTTACTGAAGATAAGAAGACAACTGATTCTGTTGAAGAGCAATCAGTGATATCTAACAAAATTAAAGATGCTGTGTTTGAAAAAGTAAAAATTAAAACAGAAGTTTTTGATGATAATGCTGCAGACGTTGAAATGTCCAAAAAGAAGACGTCCGAGTTGATGAATGAAACTGAGAAACAGATGCTATCAAAAGAAGAATCCAGAAGCTTAGAAAATGATGCCACTGAGGCATTATTGGCATTGGCGGCAGGCTTTAACAGTTTTACAGATAACCATGCTTTTGAAGACAAACAAAAGATTGAAAGAGCTAAAAATGACTATGTAAAATCAGAAATAACTTGGAAAGAAGAACTGGTTAATGGTGAAATGGATGTTAGTGTTAGCACACTTCCCGAGCAAGAGTTACCGTGCGTGACATCGAAGGTGGAGGAAGTTTCTACTGTCAGTATGGATGTCGATGTGGCACAAGAGGTTCCAACAGAAGTTCCAGAACATCACATAGTTCTGGATCACTCGTACTGTATTCCATCATCTGTGAAATTAGCAGACGTGAATAAGTTAGATTCAAATGTCGATTCGGTCATCGAATCTGTAATAAGAGGACCTCCCGTAATGTTAGATCATGAATATATTCGAACTAGATTACCCTCTCCTGAACCGAAATCCAAACAGAAGAAACCTTCCAAATCTCGCAGGACAAAACTTAAACCCATAGTTCAGGAAATAGAAGAACCTGAGACTAAAGTTGTATTCCAAAAGAGGGAAGTTTTAGAAGAAATGAATATTCTGTATGAATTTCTTAAAACGGGAATAGATGCAGAAGATGTGCAGCATCTAAAAAGAAGTTATGATGCAATGCTACAAGACGATATTCAGTTATACTGGTTAAATGATACCCATTGGGTTGACCATCCTCATATCCTTTATTTACATTCAGTGAAATTTATTTTAATAATAAATGTTACATCTTTTAATCTTTAAAGAATAACATCAGTTTATATTATTAAGATTTTTAACAATTTTTAGTGCATAAATCTTATTATATTATACAGAAAACAAAAGTGCACTTTACATCACTTTCTGTATGAATTCCATTAATTTTTGATGTGCACATATTAAAATATTAAATTTATTCTTTATATTTAAGATTATATATTAAAGTTTACTAATTTTAACAGAATTCACCATTGTTCAAGTACATCAATTGTATTAATGTACAGTGGAACCTCACTTAACGAGTACCTTGCATATGAGCAAACAAATGAGCAAAACAAATTGTAAAAAATGACTCACTTAAGAAGTGACGAGAAGAGGGGAAGTCCCGGATTGTGTGCATGCTCCATCAGTCTGTGTTTAGCACTCGTCCTGCTAGCATATTTGTGTTGCTCATGATCAAACATTTTTTCAAATTTGTGTTTACACATATTACTTATCAACATCAACAACCATAGCCTGTTATATAATAAACACGCCAAAGATATGCCAGATTCTTGGGCTATGTAAAGGTTATAATTAAATATTAGAAATTAAATAATTTGACTAGAGAAATTGCGGCCTAAGTTTTCATCTCTAAAACATGAACGTTGAGAGCTGCCATCTTGTAAGCCTAGAAGTTTGACAATGGTGTTTGGAATGTTGAGCATAATTTTAATGATGTTCCAAACACCATTGTCAAACTTCCAGGCTAAGATGGCTGCGCTCAATGTTCAATGTTCATGTTTTAGAGTCTAAAACTTCAGCCACAATTTCTCTATTAGAAATTAATTAATTTGACTAGAGGTAGGCATTTATGCTGCCATCTCATATTAAATTTGATAATTATAAATAAATAATTTTTAATTTAGACATTTCTAAAATTTAATTTGGAATTGGGTTATTAAATTTAATACGAGATGGCAGCATAACTACCTACCACTAGTCAAATTATTTAATTTCTAATATTTAATTATAGCTTTTACATAGACCAAGAATTTGGCATGTTTATCAGACATATTATCTATGATTGTTTTTTTTTTTTTTTTTTCTTTTTTCTGCAAATGGAATTTGCACTTCTGTGCTAGAAGAAAAGATGAAGCTGATTCATGCTCCTTAACAATGTATATTGTATAATTGTCTTTGAATATATGTTATATATACAATATTTGAATATTTATTTCAGCATGGAATGCATTATCATATTTTACATTAATTTATATGGGAAAAACTGTTTCCCTTAGCGAGTGTTTTGCATTATGAGTAAGATTCTGGAACGAATTATGCTCGTTAAGCGAGGCTCCACTGTATTTTGTATCATTGAATCCTGCATATTATGCTTTTAAAACGGTTTATGAACTTGTTAATACCAATTATTACTGTAAATTGGCATCATTTTTTGAAATTAAATACTGAAAATTATCATCATATAAGCAAATACAAATATATTTATCAGTTGGCTATTAGATTGGTGTATTTATAAATGGTTGCTCTTATCTCAGAATTTCAGTTTACAATTATGTGTAACTGAAACTGAAATGAACTGAATGGTTTTAATTTGTTCACCTGATTAGTAGTTGTTGTTCTTATATAAGACACAAGCAATATAAATTGTTATTAGTCAGTTAATTTAATAAGTTTTCTGAAATGATTTAAAGCTCTTTCAAATTCTTTAATGAAAGAATTTGAAAATATTGAAGTACTGATGAATTTGTTTTTTCTGTTATCATTAGTAGAAGACGAATATTGAAGTTTACATAAAAGATAACATGGTAACTTGTCTAAAGGATTTTTAACATAACATTCTTGGATATTAAAAGTTTTATTTGATTCATTATTTACAAACATTGCTTATTAATTCGTGATCATTTAGTGTGTGATAGAAATTTTAATTCACTGTTTGATAAGTAAGAGTTGGAATTGTTATTTGCAAATAATTTGGAAATAGTTGATTTTATCATCAGCTGTTTCACAATTTCCCACCTTGCTTGGAATTTAATTATTTTTTTGCAAAATGAAAATCTGATACTTCACCAATCAAAACTCTTGTTATTTATTAGATAGAATTTAATCATTCTCATTTCTGCATATGAAGACCTTTGATAATTCTAAAATATGATAATAGTGGCAATAAGATGCATTGTTTGTGTGTGAAAATGACAAAACTAATCACAAAAGGATTGACTTTTATCTGCATTTTATTTTGCAGAATTGTTTATATTTTTATATTTTAATTTATGAATTTTAATAATAGTCATGTACAGTCTTATTAAAGGATGGGTTTGAAATTTTTTGCAGTACATACTCAATTCTAAGATGCACTTTTTGACCCATTTTTAGTTGTTTGAAATTGAGTTGCATCTACAATCAATAGTGTCTTACATTCTCAGTCCAAAACAAGTAGCAATTATTGTATATGGACCTTGTGGTATGCTTTGCACCATTAATAAACATTTTGGCTACACTGCTGAATGATCGCAAATGAACTTTGAATTGAATGCTCGCTACCAGTAAACTCCTTTTTAATATTTAAAATGCTTTCAAGATGACTTGTTGTTACTTACCAAAACTTAATTAAATTTATTTATTTTTTAAATTTTTCCTCTAAAAAAAAGGAGAATCCTTAAACTTTATTTCAAACTTGTGGCATAACTTAGAATTACGGAATTGAATATTATTTATAAGTGCATTCAAAGCTTGCTACTTTCCTTAAAATTTTCTGTAATATAAAAATACAATTGATTACTTTTCAAAATTTTATCATTACTGAGTGTCTTCAACCAAAAACTTTTAATCTTTAATTTACTCTTTACTCATTGCATCTTTATTTTATAGTTTTCTTTTATTTGTAATCTCCCAAACTTTCTCTTTTCATTTTATCCTTGGCTACCTTTTCTTCTTTCTAGTTCTGCATGTATAATAAGCTTTAGTATTCTCTTGTCCACAATACAGGGTGGTGCAAGGTTGGGAACCAGGAAGAGTTGGAATTTTGCACATTCAGGGAAAATTTGGGAAATTATTTTAAAATACCTGGAAAATGGTTCGTAATTGTGGTACATCAGAATAATGTAAAATTGTTAGAAAGATGTTAGAAAGATTTTACACAGAATATGTAAAATCTTTCTAACATTTTTTGAAGATATACAGTATAACCATTTATGGTGTAAATTTGCTACTATTTGCAGTGAGCCAAATCACATGACTCACTTTGCTGCTTGTTTCTTGCCAGTTCATGCTTACTAGCAGCATGTTCAATGGATAGATGTACCAAATATACTAGCAGAGTTGTCAAGTTTGGGTTTTTTACCTTAAATTTATTTAGTAACTTGTGGTAAAGGTTAAAAATGATGAGACTTTAATTACTACACTGCAGACCATGATGTTACTACAAGTTTGTGAAATCTATCACACATTGTATCAAAAATTAGTAGAAAAATTACAATTAAAGGTATAGAATAAGTTTTTGTAGCAATAAATTTACAATGTGTAAAAATACCAAGGGAGTCCGATATTAAAGATACAGGCAAAAATTACACTAACATTTATAATTAAAGAAAATATTTAATACATTTCACAGAAACTACATAATTTTATTTATTTCTCAACATAATCTTCATAAACATTGAGACATTTATCCAGCGTGACCCTAGTTTGAACATCCATCCAGGATACTGTTGTTTGTCAAGTAGTCCAGAATGGAGTCTTGCAATTTCTCCCGATCCACAAAATGTTTCCCCACCAAAAATTTCTTTAAAGGTTCAAATAAATGAAAATCCGAGGGGGCTAAATCTCCACAAGTCAAACCAAACCAAACTGTGGTTGGCACAGTGGAATTGAGAGATCCTGTAACATCCTCCGTATAGTCCAGATTTAGCCCCTTTTGGATTTTCGTTTATTCGAACCTTTAAAGAAATTTTTGCCAGGGAAACGCTTTGCGGATCGGGAGGAATTGCAAGACATCATTCTGGACTACTTCAAGCAACTTGACAAGCAACAGTACAGTGAAGGGATGTTTAAACTCGTGTCACACTGAGATAAATGTCTCAATGTTTACAGTGATTATGCCGAGAAATAAACAAAAGTATGTAGTTTCTATGGAATGTATTAAATATTTTCTTTAAATATAAATGTTAGTGTAATTATGGCCTGTACCTTTAATATTGGACTCCCCCTCATATAATGATCTATTATACAGTACATGGCATTTTGTTAATATATAAACAATGGATGTAGCAGAATTTTGGTCTGGTTTTGCCTCATTACATCAAATTTTATGCTAAAGCTACTAGATATTAGTGATATTTATCAGCCTTATTTGACGTCATGATGCATTTGTGCCAGTCGGCTTAAGATTGCAATTTACTTTTGTTGTCAGCTGTACAGGTATTATTTGGCTAATTTGAATTCCATCATTGAGTTGTTGTTTAACCAATTATGAAGTAATTTTGCTTGTTTTATATTTTTCCCATTTTATATTAATATTTATTAGAAATAAATACCTATTTGATAACAAATGAACAAATAGGAAAGGTAGCCTACTTGTGAAAAACCAGTGTTTTATAATTTTAAACTTGCCTAAAATCAGTCTGTAATTTAAAGAGAATAGCAGGTCTTGCAAAGTAGTCACACTACTAATAATACACTCAAAATAGTCTGCATTAAATTTGTTCCTTGCTCATATAATTTGGGCAACTTATAAACACACGCAACTGATTTATAAAAATTTCATAAATTTTAGAAGTTTCCAATCATGAACATGCATACATATTCCCGTTCATGCATGCACACTTAATATTATTGTGTTACTAATTCTAAAAGCTATTTAAAATTTTAACTTGTGAGCATTTATGTTTGTGGAATCACCTTACCAATTTTTATAAATTGCAGGGAAAATATTCTGATTATATACGACAGGATAAACCTTAATTTTTGGCATGTGTATTAGAAACATAACTATGAATCACAATATTGAATAAAAAAAAGTATTTAGGTACAACTAACACAATTTTTGAGATCACTTAAAAATTGCATGCAGTTGATTCTTGCATCATCTTTATCTCAAAAACCTGCATATAAAAATCATCTCATCGTTAGCATTAATATAAAAGGTACGTAACTTGACGCTACATTATTGGAATTAATTGAAAAAAATATGGCTTTTAGGGAATTAATTGAAAATTTCGGGGGTGTCTCGTGTCTGGATTCACAAGTGTCATTAACAGCAACATCGTATGCTAACAGTATCATTAAAAATGACAGTTTGGTGATTTGTTATAGATTTGATTCATTAAAGGTGTAGAGTATCATGCTGCTAATGACAAATTAACTAACATTTATTATCATAAGAATTGTCATTACCACTTTCAATTCCTTACCAACCATAGAAAAGGAAAGTTTTACTTTATGTAATTTTAGCACTTGAGTGACTGGCTGTTATTGTGGAAGTATGATACAAAGTATGAATGTTAGAATTATTACCAATTGTTACACAATTCCACCTAATTAGACTACTAAATTTTATATGCTTGCTGGACTCCGATTAATAATAGCATATTTCTCTTTCTGTTACTCCAAGTGGTAAAAGATAAAATTATGATTTTTGGGTAAAAAAAGTAAATTATTGTACTTCATTCATTGAAATTCCATTCTGTATAATAGTTATATACATGTTACACTATAAGACATAGCCTGATATTCTGGTTTTTGAAGAATGCAGATGAAATTCAATGGTCAGGGAAAAATCTGAATTTTGGGTTAGAAAAGTCTGGGAACTTTTTAACCAATTTTGGTAGCCATCCTGATAATAGATTATTTATATTTTAATTACATTTCTACTGTATTGTTCTCATTTACATTCTGTAAGATTCCATTTTGTTTTGATTTGTATTATTGCAATCAATTTATTTACATTTTTAAAGATAAGATCGTATATTTCTTAACAAATATCACCAACTAATGTTCCTCTTCCACCTAAGAAGAAGAAGAAAGACGAGTACAGTCGGATACATGCAACGGGTTGTGCACGCACAGAAGGTTACTATAAAATGGATATGCACGAGAAAGCGCATCACAAAGAACAAGTTGCTAGTACAATTTTAGAATCGATCGAAATAGAATTGGTAAGAGTCGGCAAATTTATATATCTTTTAGAAAAGAGCAGTCTTTCGTTCATCGAAGTGACGGCATTTATATAAATTGTCGTAATTTTTCTGACAGGATCCCACAAGCAAAGCTAGAATTGCCGCACAGGCTACAAGAGAAGCACGATCGAATCAGAGAAGGTTGCTGACGTCTCTCGGCGAGAGCGATTTCACAAGTGACCTCTTAAAATTTAATCAGCTCAAGGTATGACTTGAATATTTTTATTTTTAATGGAATTTGTAACACACAACAATTTAGGGAATTAATTTTTAATCAGTTTTCTGTGTAGTGTTTACAAACAAATTAAAACTAGCTTCAATTATGATTATAAAAACAAAGTATCTGTAGATAAGTAATTATGATGAGGATGATTATTATTTTCTAAACTGTACTGGAAATAATAATAAAAGTATATTGAAGAAACATAAACTGTCATCTTAAATTCATCACTCATATTCACCAGAGTACTTTTTAACTATTTTCTGGTGAATGCAAGTGATGGGTTTAAGAGGACAATTTGTTTTTTGACATATATTTTTCATATATAAATGTTTTAACAAAAGTATTGTTATTGTTTCTGGTAATATGTTTTGTCTATGAACAGGCTCTTTTAAGAATTATATCCAGTTACAATTTGTTAAGGCTTATTTATTTTCTAAAATAAAATATTATAATCTTGTTATTAAATATTATAACAGTGAAATTCTGAAACTTGTGGGAAGTACTCGACCTTTAAAGTATTCCCCCTGCAGGAACAAAGAAATAAATCACACACTCTACAAATCCAATGCAAGGAACTTAAAGTTTATTTCAGTTCTTCCAATCACTTCTCTGTCCATTCGCTATAACAGTCCAACACTATAATAAAGGAACACAAAAAGAAACAAACTTGCAACTCTTTCATCTATATGTCTTCTCTCTTTGCCTTTTCTTTTAAAACGTCCCACTTCCTCCTTGAGCATGCGCAGTATCCCTCCTTGGTCCAGGTTCTTTGGTGGTCATTGAGCCCCAGAGGATTTAAGACTACCTTAACTACAACATTGCCCACCCAGACAAAAGAGCTGGTCACACGATAGAACACGTGGTCTTCAGACCTCAAACTACTTTAACTTTCCTTCTACTGTGTTCTTATATTTTTATTTTTTCATTTGTTTTTGAGTTACTTTGACAAAATTAAGGTTATCATTGTAGCGATTGCTTAACTCTTAGTTAGCAAAAGTTACGTGACCAGACTGAATGGAATATGTCACAGAGTGCATTGAGCTGTTGTTGTTCTAGTAGTTGCTGCTGCTGCTGTAAGTATTTGCATGTTAGTTTTATTTTCCTTCTGAGTCTATTATTATGTAATTTAAATAGTTTCTTTGTTAATCCAGTAGTCTATTGAAGAATCATAATCCAGTAAAGTTTTTTCTATAAAATATTTGAGCTCTAACTAGCCAGGTGGTAATTTTTAATGTTCTGCTGTATGTTTACTGGTTTGCCAATATATAACTTTCAGGTAGATGGTCGATAAGAGCTTTCGATCTGTTTTAATCTGGTTTGTTAATATTTCTTCATACAAAAATACTTCTCTAGCAACATTATTTTGTTTCAACAGATTATTGTTTACTCCTTCTGTAACTAGATCTATTTGATCTCGTAGTATGGATCAGATTTTTCAATTTTCTGTTGCGGAATTGATCTTAAAATAAATTCAAGGAACGATAGATAGAAGACATTGGAAGAAACAAAACTATATACAATATTTATTTTCCTAATATAAAAAGCAAAAGTCAATTCATTTTTTATTGTCAATTGTTATTTTTTAATTGATATTAATGCAAATTTTATATTTAAAATGTTTTTTAATTAGAAGTTTAATTTTGTACATGTACATATGTAATAGAATACTGTATATGCTGATACTGTACAGAATCAAAACAAATACAGGGTCTTCCAAAAAGAATGCTAAATCACTGCAATATGTTAATCGTTATCTGAGAAATGTATGACATACATCAATTGATAGAGTAACCATTGGAGTTTCATCTACCATCTGCATTCAAACGTCTTTGCGTTCTGCAGTCCACAAACTGTTAGTCGGTCATCATTCTGCAATGTGAGTTTCGCAGATAATTTCAAAGTGATCCATCGCGTAAGGTAGACGTTCTTGTCGAACGACGACGACCGATTCGGAGTTTGCCAACTTCAGAACGCAAAAAGCCTTCTCTGTTGCAGAGTTGCCATTTTTGTTTACAACACTTCCTAGAGGCAGTAGACAAAAAGGCGTTTGAATGCAGATGGTAGACAAAGCTTGAAAAATCACTCTATCAATTGGCGTGCAATGCATACTTTCTCAGATAATAAACATGGTTTAAAATGGTATATTCTTTTCGGAAGACCCTACATTTTGTTGTATTTTCAAATACAATTTGAAGAAATTAAGAGTAGATATTGTAAATCAGCGCTTCAACTTTGTATTCTTGGACTAGTGGGGTTTTTTAAGATTGACTGAAGAAACGTACAATAACAAAAAATCAATTTTAAGAAATGGATTTTTAGTGTCATTTTCAATTATTTGGGCCAGATTTGATTGCTTGTTCATTCCTGTAAAAAATAGAGAAAAAGTAATAAAATAAAATGTTTTAAAGTATAAAAATATGAAATTTTAAGTGAAATCTTGGCGTGGCCTGATACTGTTTATAGACCAGCACCCAAAGTACGAGTAGCACTTGTTGACGGTTGGAGGTGCTATCTGTAAAATTATAAATATTTCAGTAGTGAGAAATACAGGGCCATAAATTAACATTATCACAATAGATGTAAAATTCATAATTAGAAAACAAAAGTGTTACAGAATGTGTAAGAAATTAATATTCGTATACACGACACGGTTGATGTTAAAGATTAATCCCGTTGTGTAAATAGCGTCCAACAATATTTGTCAACATAAATAGACGTATATTTAAAATTTGTAAGAATTACATATTAATTTAAATTTTTGTATATTTTAATAGTTTCGAAAGAAGCAATTGAAATTTGCCAGGAGTAGAATCCACGATTGGGGTCTGTTTGCGTTAGAACCCATAGCGGCCGATGAAATGGTAATCGAATACGTGGGCCAGATGATACGTCCGATCGTGGCCGATCTGAGAGAGACCAAGTACACAGAACTGGGAATCGGAAGTTCGTATCTGTTCAGGGTCGATTCCGAAACGATCATCGACGCGACGAGATGTGGAAATCTGGCCAGATTCATCAACCACAGTTGTAACGTAAGTGCTTTTTGTTTTTTCCCCTTCGTTTTAACCATCGGTAAAGTAAGCGGGCAAAGGAACTACACTACTATAGTTTTAAAATTCATTTTGGGCCGCTTAATCTCTTTCAGCCCAACTGTTATGCAAAGGTTATTACCGTAGAGGGACAAAAGAAAATTGTTATCTATTCCAAACAAGCGATCAACGTCAATGAAGAAATCACTTACGATTACAAATTCCCCATCGAAGACGAAAAGATACCGTGTCTGTGTGGTGCTCCGCAGTGTCGTGGTTATCTGAACTAAAATTCTGCGAATACCATTTCAAACAAATTGCATTTTATGATTTGTGCATTAATATTGCCATGTGATTGTGAATAGTTTTTTCTAGGAATTTGAACCCAGTTCATCACGTTATGTTAAGTAAAAAAGAAAAAAAATTGTAAATAACGGTAAATAATATGTACATAATATAAAAAAATCTCTCCTGCCTAAGTGTCGTTGCCGTGTCTCATTTTAGCTTCTCGTTCAAATATATTGGTGCTGGTGTCGAAATGCCGTGGTGTCTTCTGTTTTTCTCGTACGTTCTGCAAAATTATTTACCGGCGAAATGTCATTTAGAGATTTAAAACAGCATCATCGTATCCAAATTGTGTTTTATATAAAAAAACAAAAATACTGATTAACGTTTAGAAATCAGTAAATTCTTCCTATAATAGGATGAAATGTACAGAATATTGAGTTTATCTCCCCCAGAAAACAATAAAAAGAAGATGGCTTAAACAGATCGAAAAGAACGGAAAATATTCATAATTTCATCTGTAAATATTCATTATATATGTGTTAAATGCAGAGAATAAATCTCAATTTTATCTGAGAAATTTTGAATGTGTGGATAGCGATCGAACTGGCAACTTTTTGGTCGGTTCTTTAATTTTGTATAATGTTGAGGAGTCATTAAACATTATGGTTTTTAACCATTGCAGTTTGATTATGTTGTTTTTCGAATGGAAATCGTCGTCCAGACTAATATTTTAATTTCGTAAAAGATACTCCCATGTGATTTTGAAAGTAATGTCATGTGATGAATGTAAAATGTCAATAAACGTTGAGTGCTACCTATGTAATTGCCTACATAGTAGCAAGTTTTACACAGACATTTATTTTATTTTTTTTCTACATGTTAAGTTAAAGTACAAAATGATACAAAAAATGCACATTGTTTTATTATATAATTACTTCATCCAATCATATTTTTAAAATAAAGCAGATATAGATTATATATATATATATAAAAATTCCATTTTATCCAACGTCTTTTCACATTTATAAATTTGAATATATTCATTTCATCATAGAACTATATTTATTATGTGATATTTTGATATAATATGTACACAAAAAATACTCAATTTAACTACGAATGGGTGTGTAGAGATTTATAAAATGGTCGATTATCTTTTTAAATAGTTTTTTGATGTCGAAAACTACCCTTTTAGTACAAAAAAGAAACAATTTATTCTATATACAAACGATAAAAATCATAAAACGACGGTCGATCGCTTCGATACTTTTTGTTACCTTAAATTATTTTGTTTCGAAAAGAAAGAAATTTGTAACGTTTTCTCTCTCCGAAAGCTTGTCGAGAGATTAATTTATATTAAGAATTTATTGCCATTCGTCAGAGGTAGAACCGAGATTAATAATGTTATGTTTGTACAACAATGTATTGAAACATTTAGAATGATTTTTCTTTAATAAAAAACAATAATAATAAAATTGCAATTGTTTTTAATACATCTTGCCTTCGACCAGCGTGATAATTAAAGTAATTCCACTACTTTAAATATCTTTCCTATAAATAAAAATGCCTTTTGTTTCGTTGGTGTTCGAACCCATTAAAATTTGCAAACATCCGAGAGGTTTCCCCACTAGTAACACCAGGTTTATGCCGAAAATATTTCGAACTAGCTGTAACCTTGTCCACGGGATGTCCTTTATTGGGAGATTGGTTCGTAGCGGCGTATACATTCCGATAAAGAACAACCCGTGGACTGCGATCCTATTTATTCGCGGGACGTTCTCCTTCGGGAATTATATACCACTACGAACCTCTCAATAAAGGACATCCCGCGGGTGAAGAGACGATTACAGTCCGATTTTAGTGTCTGAAAATAGAAGAGGAAATTTTAGAACATTCTATAAATACACCGTTAAGGTTAGTTGTATTATAATACTGTTATCTATGTTATTTATTATTAATATTATAAAGAGGTAATGTTTGTATGTATGTAAGTTTGTATGCAGCGGGTAATCTCCGAAACTACTCATCCGATTTTAAAAATTCATTCACCAATATTTAGAATGGAACCTCGGAGTGGACATAGGCTGTATATTATTCCGTTAAACATTCATATAAATTAAATTAAAAGATATAATCTAGGTTAAGGCTTTTATGTCCAACAGATGGCGCTACGAGTACGACGCCCTAAGTTTGCTTTTCTGCCAGGCATTACGCTTTTCTGTGAAAATAAACTAAAGCGGATCATCTTCTATCTATCTATATAAATAAAAATGTAATGTTCGTTTGTTCCTACCGATTCCTTTGAAATTTTGACACAACGCCGCATTCGAATACGCACGTGTTTTTTTTTTTATAATATACGTGTCGAAATTCAACCCCACTGAAGGGAGATGGTTAGGATTAAGGCTTACGGTAAAGAACTTTGCTTCTATTTATACTATTTTAGATGCGGGTTTTTGCGTTTTTGAATGCGTTTTAATAGGGTACGTCAACAGAATGTACATTAAGAAGAAATTTTTCGAAAAATTCCCCTCCCCCCACGGGGGAAGTGTTATAAATTTATAATAGATACAATTTGAGCCACAACAACGCGTGGCGGGGGTCTGCTAGTAGTATTATAAAAATGCAATTGGAGTTTTAATAAAAATATTTCGACTCTAGGACTTTTGAGCGGGTAACGCTCATCTTCGAGAACACACGGCAATAAAAAAGACAGGCAAGATGGTCGTATCAATTTAGATGTATAGTAGAGCCTTAATTTAAATATCTGTAGAGGCCCGGAAATGGCCGAATGTGAAAAAATGCCAGCAATCTCGGCATTTTCAATCGTTCCATCGCCTAATTAACAGTTTCTTCTTTATTACCACGTTTCCGGCCAGCGGCGTCACTCGCTCAAAAATTCCGGATCGCGAGTATTAAGGACTCGAACTCCGGACATGTAGACGTATATTTTATCGCGTTACGGTATAATACAATAGTGTTACGTAGTAAAACATCTTAGAGAAATGGCGGGAGTCGCTAGTTTTCCAACGAATCCCGATGGTAAAAAGGATTTGAATTTTAACTATTATAAACGAAATTGATCGGTAGGTGAGTGACGTATAATGGAAACTATCGGCGCCATTGCCAGATTTCCCGGAGCAATCGGAGAATCTACAGCGCCGCCAACTGCTTAAAATACTATATAAATTAAACTTAAAATAACTTAAATTTTTGCCTTAACATTTTACCCGCTTTTAATACGATACGAAAGAATTTATTGACGGAGGTGCCGGAGATATTTGGCGATAATCCAATCGGACGAATCGCTTTTATTTTTTATTCGAACGGTAATAAAAACGCTTCTTCCGGCGTTTAACTCGAACATTAATTGTCGAAAGTAAACAAAATGTATTTATTTATCGAGGCGAAGATTTTTGATCGATATAATAATAATAAACATCCGGAGAGGGCGCCGCTGGACGAAATAAATGGCGGGCGGGATGCGAATTTCAAACGTCGTAATAAAGAACGAGGACGAATTAAGAAAGAAGATTTTTAAAATAGGCGCCCTCCTGCGAGCTCCGTTTTTCTCAAACAATAAGATGCGCGGCAATCGCCCAGGTATGTCTTTTAATACGTACATTTTATTAATAATAGTCAACGGTGAGATTTTATACAAAATAATCTCAAACCCGAGCAATTTCTACGCCGTTTTAAATAAGTAGAACTTTAAAACTTGTGTATCTTTCTACATTTTAATTTCATTTTGTCCGGATTTTAGAAGGTTTCGTAGTTACGTCTAACGGATCTGTTGGCGGATTTTGATGTACGCTTAGCGCTTAGCGCGAGTTCCCGGACGACGGCGTTCGACCAGCGTTCGCACTGGCTCAGTTTGGAAATGGACGCGAAAGTAATTGCTGGCGCGCGCCTCCTCCGTCGGCAGAAGCCAAGAGAATTTTGGGTGCACCCGATATTACCGGATAGACTGACGCGTGGAATGTTTGCCACGTTGTATCCGAAACTAAGACAATACGAACCCAAATTTTTTAATTCTTTTAGAATGTCTATAAAATCATTTGACGACGGCTGGTCTCTTTTGGATTTCATCGATAAATAAATCGGTATCGAAACGATCGTTCTCCATTTCGGCCAACGCGCGTCCACTCTACCCGAAAGCGCGCCATCGAATGTACGACGACGCGGCGGCGCGTGTATCTCAAAGCGCGCGGCTAATGCCCGCGAAACGCGCGTTCTAACCAAAATCGATCGACGCGCGCTTGGCCGGAAGCGCGCGTTTATCTATGCGGAACTCTTTGTTCTTTAAAACGGGCGTTTCAAAACGCCTAATGCGTACACGGCCTTAAACCGGTCCATTCTAACGCAGTAAATAGGGAAAGAGGAACACGCCGCAGTGGGACCAAGTCCCAAAAAGCTGGCCAAAAGTCAAAAAATAGAGTTTAAGTTCCGGTAATTTCTAGTCGTGGGTTAGGTCGGACAAGACTCCGAAGGTCAAATTCTAGACTTTAGCCCTATCACTTATTATTGTAGTTCAGTCGAAAGGGGACCCTCGATCGAGCTAGATGCGTCATGCAGTAAACAATGATTTCTACGCTATATTCGGAGGGTGCCAAATCGCTAAAAATCAATCGAATTTAAATTTAAAAAATGGAATCTGCAGCCGCAAGTAAGTGGAATATCATTATATAACACAAAATTGATAATAATATTTTATGTGATAACAGTAAACGAATGATTCGTACGAAAATGAACGGAAGATTACAACAGAAAATTTTAAACACGTAGAGAAAAGTTCATAAATTCTGTAGAGTTCCGCGACTGGACCGATCGCGTGTCGTAGATGGAACTATTATTGAATGAAAAAAATTAAAACTAGCCGCAATCGTGTCATTGGTGCGACTTGTCGCAATGTAAAACGCAGTTTTCTGAGTTTTGTACATTAACGACGCCGAATGTTTTGCTCTTTTTCTCCAATTTGTCTGTGTGTTTTGAATGTTGTTTGCGTGTAGCGTATAAGCTTGAAATCAAACTGTGGCAAGCGCATAGTGATAAAGAAAATAAACAAATAAGACCCTGAAAAACGAATATACAGAAGGGTTTCCGTATAGAATCGGGTCTAATAGTCGATCAACCAAAGCCCGGTTTCGGTAGCTCGAAGGATGGGAATACCGCTCGACGATTTTTCGAAAACTCGAGCATTTCTGCCGCTATTACAGGGGGTTGACGAGGACTCGATTAAGCGTTTCAGTGTCATATTGCAGACAATTTCGTGTGGCCACGAAATCGATTTCATAGAATTTCAAGATTACGCTATACAGATAGCTCGTTACTTTGCGCATTATATCCGTGGTTCCGCGTGAAAACTTCGGTACATAAGATGGTGCAGAAGTGATAAATTCGTCGGTATTGCCGATAGGGCAGATGTTTGAAGACGCTCAAGAGTCTACTAATAAATACATTAAAAACTTTCGAGAATATTTTGCAAGAAAAGTTCCCGAGTGAAAACAATGGAAGACATTATTTTACGCTTATTATTAATAGATGGTCCGGATGCGACCGAATTCCTAATCTTTTCTTCCGCTTGCTTAATCGACCGAATAGAAGACTCGTTTAAATTAAAATCGGCTATCCGCTCCCGATTTTTAATTCGATCCAAAATTTTTAGCTTTGTTTGAAGAGTTATAAATTTCCTTTTTAACGACGGTCCTTTCTTTTCATTCGGCATTGTCAATCAGTTTTGTGGACGGTAAAAATCGCGAGAAAAAAACTTTCCTTCACTATGTTGTTAAAAATGTATACCCAATAGAAGTTTATACTTATTAGTAATGTGCCGGATATCCGCGGATACGGATATACTGAGGGGAAAAAAAAGATCCGTATGTGTATCCGTTACTTTTTAGCGGATCTTTAACGGATCTTTTATCTTAACGAATTTCATT